TGGTAACATGTAAGTTTTCGCTCCCCTCTATCTCTGCCCTCCCTTTTTTGAATCAGACATAGCTTCTAACGTGGTTTAATTTCAATATTTTGAGCTTGTATTATATTGCAAATTTTTTTTTTATTATCTTGAGCTTAGAACAGTAATAGTCATATTTTACTTTATTTTAATGTTCAACTCCGCAACCTTGTAATTTTGAACCAATCTAGAAGACAAGGAAACTCCTGGATCAGTGCACCAGATGTATGATTTGTTATGGGAACATGTTGGACTTTGTGACCCGACGGATTTAACGTGCATCAGTCACCATTTACTGCTCTTCTTTGGCCAGCGGGGATCGAACCCGCGAACTCTTGGATATGGTTACCAGGCTACCAACCAGGCTATCCCGGTTTAGTAATAGTCATATGTGACTGTGGTGCCATTGAACTTTACATTCTAACCAATTCAATAGTTTACGCCCTTTCTCCTATCCGATCTCATTTAAGGATGCCCCTAAATTGTTAAGTTTTCTTTGCGTCTTTCTCTTATTTTTTTTTTTTTTTTTGTATCTTAATTATGTTTTCTAAACTACTTTTTAACTACTTGATAAATACATTAACTTTGGTGCTTCAGAGCCGGAAATGCCCACGCATAATCGGGTAGCTTGGCACGGAGGTCGGGTGATTACTACCATCTGCCCTCTCGCGCATGCGCCAGTATCGTCTTCAGATCATCATTGAGGATGGATCTCAGATCGTCGCCCATAGCTCTAACGCGACGTTACAACCAAACCAGTTATTTTTTTAAAAATATTATTTATTATTTCAAATTAAAATATTCGAGATTGTTTAACATTGTGTGAGAAATCTATATTCATAAAGTGCAAATTTAAAATTATTATATCTCAATTTCAATTTCATTTGTCCATACAGATTTTTTCAAAATTTTTTTTCTTCGTTTTTTTATAAAATATTTTTAAAATCTTTTGTTAATTGTAATGGCATTGCTTAAACGTTTAATTTCGTTTTCTTCGTATATATTTCAACATTTAACTTATTTAAGGTATTTTTAAAATGTATTTGTAACCTAAATGTAATGACAATTATTTTAACGACATGATGTGCAAACGATTAAGAATTCTCAAGTGTGCGCTGATGCCATTCTTATAATTCTAAAGGCATTAAGGTCATTGTCAACTAATGACATTTTTCCTTTCTTTTTCCCGCCTAGATACAATTTAAATGCTAATATCATTAAATGCAATTCTTAGAAATCTTTAGGATTAATTGCAACATCACTTGGTAAAGACATTAAACTAATTGTAATTTTAGTACTTCATATTTGAAAACTGGCAATTAAGAAAGGGTAATCATAGGGTATTGCTTTCAGTTATTTTGATAATTTTTTGAGAATAGTTATCAGTAGTTGTGATACTTTAATAATTAACTGTTATAGATAACTTTCATCAATAGCTAACAGTGTGCATTACAACTCACCATTATTGTTATGGAATAATATGTTTTAAAAACAATTCTAAAGTCGATTCTTAATATTAGCTTTTCCAAATTATTTTAATGAAATGTTTTGAAACTTCATTAAAATCTCCTTCGATTCTTTTGATTTTTATTAATCTGCTTTTTAACTGAGTATTATTGGGAGTGTTTAAAAAAAAAACTTTTAAATTTTCATTCGATTCTTAGTAATTGTTTTCTACGTAGCATTATTGATACGAAATGCTTTGAAACTTTTTAAAATTTCATTTGATTCTTAATTTTTTTTTATGTTTGTTTTGCCTCCATATTTTTGACTTTAATTTATTACAGCCTGTAAAAATTTTGTAAAGTACTTTTCTTTATTTTTTTGCCTCATGTTATAAGGAAGATTTTTCTTGTATTAAGTGTGATATTTATTACTTGACACATTACCGACACCCATTTATATCATCTTAAAATTCGTGTGTTAAGATTTCCTTCCAATAATAATATTCCAAATAATGTATATGTTTTTAACTAAATTAAATAAAATGTTTCTTAAATTTATTTGTTTTTCTGCCATTAAGTTTAAAATGAAAGAAGTCCAGGTGTGTAGATTCTAAAGTCCCTGCTTTCTCCTCACTGGGTCACCATGTCATTTGAAGTGGTATATTTTGGCGACAAACGACAAGAAAACATTCCAGAAATAAAACATCATTATCTCGCCAACAACGGGGGATCAAAGCCAGACACCTCTACGTGTCCTTCAGTTATTGGGATTAAGACATTATTACATCATTATTGTTTTCTCTTCTCAACGTACTTCCTTGTCTTACTTTTATATTAATTTGTGAATGGAAATAAAATATAAGATTTCTGCGCAATCATGTTGTGATTGGAAATAAAATATAAGATTTCTGCGCAATCATATTATTGAGTTGTTGGTGGAACGCTGGTACTCATGAACTATTAATTTTTTTAGGCGAGTGATACTGCGTGCATTTTGACTTTTTATTTATATATTTTTTTTATAAAATCAAAATTCTTATTAAGTTCATTAATGGTAATAAGTTATACAGTAGTAAAATGAAAATATTAAATTATCTCTTTTAGTACTAGCAATTAAAAATTACCCATTTAGAATTTATGCGAACATTGAAAATAAAAAACTGGAGTAAGAAATTGTTAATAAAAATTATTCGTATAGTATATTATAGTAATTTAAAAGAGTAGTGCAGTGTTTCCCAAAGTGTGGTAAGCGTACCCCCAGGGGTACGGGAACAGTTCAGCTTGGGTACGCGTTCTTATGCGAAATATCTTGCAATAAACGAAAATGTAAATTTTTTTTATTTAAAAGCATTAAAATTTATGATTGCGTATTTTTCTGTTGGCTAATTTTTGCAGAGTTAACAATAAATAATTAATAGTGTCAACAGCCAGTTGTGGTTTTTAACTTTTGTGCAATTTTTTTACAGTAAAAAATTAATTCATTTTTTTATTAGTGGTACACAGTGTTACGAAAAATTTAGAAAGGGTACACAAAAGTCATAAGTTTGGGAAACACTGGAGTAGTGCATCAAATTCTGCCTCATGTATCTGGGGTAATTCCTGGACAATGCTGCTTTTACCATTATTGCCATATATTACATGATCCCTTTTTATTGTCATATTTATATCACTAGTGGTACTAATTACGTGCAATACTTTAAACCTTTACTGTAAAGTTAACTGTCGCTGTCGCCTTTGATTGCTGAACCTAGAAGTTTATGCATCCCTTCTTTTTCTTTTCTTTAAAAAAAAAAAAAAAAAAAAAAAAAAAAAAAAAAAAAANAAAAAAAAAAAAAAAAAAAAAAAAAAAAAAAAAAAAAAAAAAAAAAAAAAAAAAAAACTATTTTCTTTTGTTGAGTGTAACATTTACATTTCTTACATACCGTTGACATTAATATCTTTGACATTCATATTTTTCCGTGTGAATAATGTAAACGTTATTAAAATTAAGTTTATTAATACAAAATGCTTTATTAAAATTAGTTTTACGTCATCGAATACGCTTTTAGTTTTAGACTATTTTCTGCAAAAATATAATTATACTTCTTGCTAAAACTTATTCATTTTGGAATATTTTTTGATTATTTTGCATTTTGTTGGGAGGGGAAAGTTTAATTTTCAACCAAAATTTTTAAATTCCCACTTTTTTTCGATAGAACGCAAGAAATTAGCAGTAATGAGGAAAACTCGTCAAAGTTTCACCAGATTACCAGAAGACATGAATCTAGTCTAATTATAATTTATGAATCCTTATTATAACTAATTATAATTTACGGCAGTTATTTATTTTATTAATTATAAATATTACATTTCGTTACAGTAATCAAAAATTGCATAATTTTTATATCTCGTTATCGACGTTTAACTAAAATTTAATGAACGAAAATATGTACTAAAGGGAAATTTATAAAGTGATAATTATAATTCAGTAATCGATTAGGAATAGCTCTGTTTTAATTCACTAATCAATATGTTGCATTGCAAGTTTAATCGAGTTCTTCTTATTTAGAACTGTTCTTATGTTCGTCTTAAAATTTATTCTTAGCGAGTTTATTTTATCTATAGAAGCGCAAAACGCTAGACTCAAAGAATAAGTTTTTTAGGATCGATTGGTTTTTATTTATTTTTTGACGAACGAAAGATTGTATATTAAGCTTCTTCATCCACAATTTAAAAAATTTTTTTTTATTAGTTTTTTTATTATTTTGTTTTAAGTAAAGGGATTTTCTTTTTTGAATTTTATGATAATTTAGAAAAAAACTGATGAACTATGATTTTCAGATAGTGATAAGATTTATTAGGATAAAAATATACATTAAGCAAAAGAGGGGGGATGTCATGTAATCAAAAGAACAGGAAAAGAAAAAAAATGTAAAGAAAGAAATACTCCATTCAATTTAACATTGATAAGAATCAAATGTGAATCAGTAGTTTTTTTTAAGTAGATAAATATGCTTTTTTAATTTCATATAAAAACAATTTCTTAATAACTCAGAATCTATGAGAAATTTAATATTCGAGGAGCACAATATTCAAAATGTATTCAGTCCATTTTTTTAAAACAGTATTTCCATTACTTATCTAAAAATTTAAATTATGAAATTAAAAATTTCATTTTATGAAAATATGTTTAAAATATTTTCCTATCTTAATGGCCATTTTTTTTTCTATTTATAAGGGGGGAAAAAAGGGCAAATTATTAATTGTTATTATCTAAGAAAGTAATTGCATCAAACTAGGGAAATGCTACCAGAATTAAGCAATCCATAACAAATCTGAGTGTTCATTCTTTCTTACAATATTGAATTCGTCGTATTTTTATTTGCGTTAAAATATTTTTCTTGATTAAATTAATTGATTTCTTGATTTTCTTTAAATTTTTGCATTTAATTTGAAGTTTCTAAAGAAATTGTAAAGGATTGTAAATTTGATTAAGCGAATGAAAAAATTTAAATTTCATTGCAAATAATATATAAATTTAGAAAATATTTGTTTAAAAGTAAGTGTCTCTTCCTTATGTATTATCTTCATTTTCCCTTACTTAAAAATAAAGTTGCTAAGCTACGATAGATGGCAGCACGTCATCTAGCATTTTGCGAAAACATCTGATTGCCCGGATTATGCCTTTTGTTTACATTGTTTAAATCCGTCTAATAGGTGTGAATAATTGAGTATCAATCGAATTATACTTGATATATCCTTAAAAAAATAATTTTACTATTAAAATGGATGCAATTTTTACTTCTGGAATTAAAACTCCTCCTAAATCCTGTGATACTTTTGCCGCTTTACCCCCTGGAACTCTCGATGGATGCATTGTTTTTGGTAAAAATTCTGACCGGCCGAATGATGAAGTGCAAGAAGTTGTATACGTACCTGCACAAGATCACACGGATTCTACCAAACTGAAATGCACTTACATTGAAATCGATCAAGTTCCACATACGTATGCTGTAATATTGAGCAAGCCCTCCTGGATGTGGGGGGCAGAGATGGGGGCTAATGAACACGGTGTTTGCATTGGTAATGAGGCAGTATGGACAACACTTAATGATTCAAGCGATGCTGAAAAAAAATTGCTGGGTATGGATCTCTTACGCTTAGGATTGGAACGCTGCAAAAATGCTGCAGATGTTGTGCATACAATTGTCGATTTGATTTATAAATACGGAATGGGAGGTAATTGCTCCAACACTTTACCTAATTTTACGTATCACAATAGTTTTTTGATCGCAGATCCATCTGAAGTATGGGTTTTGGAGTGTGCTGGCAAAATCTGGGCTGCAGAGAAAGTTACCGAAGGAGTGAGGAATATATCAAATGAGTTGTCCATCCGCACGAAAATTGATCTTAAATGTGAAGGTTTGGAGGAATTTGCGAAAAAGAAAGGATTCTGGTGTCCGACTCAAGGCCCGATTGATTTCAAAATGGCTTTTGACACTGACGACAGCGAGAGCCATAGATATAAAGCCGGTAAACGCCTTTTGACAAATTTCTCGCAAAACGGTGCTTTTTCTGCTGGAGAAATGTTTAAGGTCTTACGGGACAGGAATAGTGGTATCTGCATGTCTTCTGGCTCTTTTGTTTCCACCGCCAGTCAAGTATCCGTCCTGAGAAAAACGGAAAGTGGATTGCAGAGCTGTCATTTTTTCACCGCGACTCCCGATCCGAGACGATCGGCTTTCAAACCGTTCTTTTTCGCTGAAGAAGTTGAGTTTACTGATAAAGTAGTTTCTCCAGTTCCTAGCGAAAGTGAAGAAAATGTGGTTTCTGATAGAAAACACGAGTTGTATAAGCTTCACGAGGATGCATGCTTTTCAAGGCGTGATGCAGATGCATTCCGCCTGAAGTTGAAAGAACTGGAAGACAAGTATGTATCTCTTGTTGATGAAATTGTCTCTGGTGCTGTATCAGACACTAATGCTCCTAAAGACATTTTTAAAAGAGCTGTTGAAGAGGAATGCTCTTTATTTAGTGAAAACTAATGTAACATAGTCTATGTTTACAATCTCTTGATAATTTACATCCTTTATAGAAATATAGCTAATATTTCTAAAAAGTTAATGTGTAATATTTGCCAGTCACTATGGAGCAGTATTATAATATTCTGGAACAATATATTTTATTATAGAAATATAGCTTACAATATTCTGCACAAGATTATTATATTCCGATAATATTCTGTAACAAGATTTTTAGTCACTGCAAACGTTCTATGGGCACAATAAAAAACAAAACACACATTAGCTAAATTATTTCCATTCTTAATTTAATGGTGAAGGATTTTATTTTGTTAACTTAATTTATTGTTAAAAAGAGAACCTTAATTAAATATCAAATTGTGTATGCATGCCTATATCTTGAAGCAAAAAGTTTTACTGCATTAAATATTTTCTTTGTGTTTCGGTGATAAATTGTTCTGCAACATGCAAGTCGGATAAGGAATTTTTTCGTTAGCGGCTAGGCCAGTTTTTGTACTTTTATATATGATCAAAGGGTAAAAATGAAAACTTTTTTTAAAAAATCATTTTGTAAGGTTTTAGTTATAACAATGCCAATTTTTAACTGCCATTTCTGATTTAAGGTGATTAGCTTTTAAACCTTTTTTTAAATTTTGCTGTAAATGTGTTAAGTTGATTGATGAGTAGTTTTACAGTTGCTGACGGAAAGTGTGAGCTGTATCTAAGCTTTATGAAGATACATGCTTTTTATATTGTCATGCCCACACATCTCTCCAAATGTTCATTTATTTATTTATTTTTTAAAAAAAGAACCGAGAAATAAGTATGTTTGATGAAATTGTTTCTACTGCTGTATCAGATACCAAAGTGTCTAAAGACATTTCTCAAAGAGGGAGATTTCTGTATCGTGATCTGTGCTAGATTAATCTCCAAACCTTGGCAACTTCCGGCAAATGTATTAGAACATATGTAAAAATTACATCATTAACAGAAATATAAGTAATATTTCTGTTAATTTAAAGTAAAGGTTTAATTTCTTGCATTTGTTGTTAGATATTTATATTTTTTCTAGATTTGCTGGATTTTAAATAATAACTTTCCTGTAAATATGTATAAATTCTTAGTTAAAACTATATGTAAATATGCAGTCTTCGATTTCTATTATTGTTTTGTGAAGAGTTTAATTTTGTTGAAAAGCTTCTTATTTATGTACAATGTTATAACATTCTAAGTAGATAACGCACACTGCTGATATATAATTATTGATGCATATTGTTATTGTAATTTAGGATTATTAAAAAAATTGAAGCAATAACGGTGACTGTTTATAGAAGTAAGAGTTTTAAAAAAAATTATTGAGCATATTAGAATACTCATTAAAACTTCAATGCTACTAAGCTGTTTTACTAATTTTTCATCTACATATTGATCATTCGTTTTTATTATTTATGCTACTTTAATATCTTTTGTTTTGTAAGAGTTAAAAGGTGAAATTAAGCAATTATATTTTCTATTTGTTTTAAAAGTTATTTTGTTGTTTTTATTAGTCTTTTTCTATTTCTACATCGTAGATTTTGTTATTTTAATACTATTAGAATAATAGTATTTTAATACTATAAGTATTAGGGGGACCAGAGAAAATAATGTCGTTGCAACACATTAAATATTCATTTGTCTTAAAAGCCGATTCATTTTTTTCAATGCGGTATTGAAAGGTTGTTGCTAATGAAGGTGAATTCATTATTGATTAAAAATAAAATCTTGATATCTAATATCAAATGCACCAAAGCGACATTGCTTTCCGGTGTCCCTTTTATATTTGAAAAAGGGAGTGTTTTTTTAAAAGTTTTGTTAGTTTTTTTTGGTTAGTTTATTTGTTGTTTGGTTTTATCATTTTAATCCTATAATTTAAGAGAATTTTGTCGAAATATGGTTGTTTTAGAAATTGAAAAGTAATTTCTTACATATAAGTAAATGTTATAAGTTAAGAAATTAGGAAAGCATTAATTTTTTTTTTCTTAATATCAAGTGATTTCATTTATTTACAACTGTAAAATTTTGAATTCATATTTTAGAATTTATACAATATTTCAAATTTATTCAAATAGTATTTTATTAGTTTACATTTCAGCAGATTCAGGCAAATTTTTCTTACATTTCAAAGTAGTATTTAAATGTGGAATATGATTGAAACATATTATGTTTCATAGCTGCCAATTATTTCGGATTTTTCAGAACTTTTTATATTTAATATGATTATGTGACGCCCGGTGACTGAGTGGTAGCACTTCGCGCTCCCTTGCCACAAGTCCTGGGTTCGATTCTCGGTCCATCAAGGTTGACTCAGCCTTGGGTTGATAAATGCAGTGGGTTGATAAATAAGTACCAAGCATGCTTGGGAACTAAACACTGGGGGTTACGCGTTTGGCTGACCACCTAACCGGAACATCTGCTCCTGCACCCCAGAGCCCTAGATCAAGAAAACTGAGATGGGCACAGTAGGCCTTGACCCTCTATGGGCTATCGCGCCGCTGAGTTTTAGCTTAGTTATGATTACGAAACTTCCACTTTTGTATTTTTTAGAACATATTTTTAACAGGGTATCTCAAAACTCATGGTACATACATTGCGGGTGATAGAAGTCAACTAAACCGGCACAAATCACAATACAATCCATGGTCCGAACACAAGTCGTAACACACTAAAGTGCAGTAAAGTGCACTGTAAGAGAGATGGCTGGTATTTTCGCCATTGTACCATGATCATTTCTTTGATGGTGTGAATGCCTGCATTTTTGTTTTCGGCTGCAATTGTGAGCAATGATGGGAGCACTAAAGAATGCAAACTTTTCTTCTGGGGTCACAGGAAGAGCCTTATCTCCGATTATGGTCCCATAGATTCTGAAGACCTTGTGGCCCTGATGTCCGTAGTTGCTGACACTGTAAGAGAGATGGCTGGTATTTTCGCCATTGTACCATGATCATTTCTTTGATGGTGTGAATGCCTGCATTTATGTTGGCAACTGCAATTGTGAGCAGTTCCTGTGGTGAGGGACCTAGTGTTTAATTTCATTTTATTGAATATTGGTTTCTTTTCATTCCAACTCTGTCTTGTTTCCTATCATTTTGTGACACAACATGTTTTGTGCTTTAGTGCTTTACAATTTACTTTCTGACTGTGGATTGTAAGGAGATTTGTGCTTGTCTAGTTGTCTTCTAACACCTCTTAACCTATGTACCATAAGTTTTCGGACACACTGTATATTTGGAACATTAAAATGTTATATATATATTTATATACATAATGAAAAACATTGCATCTTTATCAATGAAGACATATAAATACATATTTTGTAAAGTAATGATGGAATTTATTGTTAAAGCTTTTGATTTTCATTGATCTATAAATTTAATTTGTATAAAAGTTATAATGCAAATTATTACTATTAAAGTAAGTATCGCTCTATACTAAAAGAAAATCACAAGTCATGCAACCGCTGTTTTGAGTGGTCAAGACTTGACTTAAAATTTTATTTTTCTACGAATAAAATAGAAGACTTAGCAATATGAAATTTCAAAGATTTGTTGAAAAATGTTCAGGGAATACAACAGACTAAAAAGGATATTTAACATTTGATAATTAGTTCGAGAATTATTATTTGTACATTTTTGTAGCAATATGTACTATGCGAGCTGCTCTGTAACCCACAGAAATGCAACTACAGTGTTGAAATTATACATGCTGAAAGAGCCATTTTTATTTAGATAATGTTTTTTTTTTTTTTTTTTTTTTTTTTTTTTTTTTTTTAAATTCCAATTTTTTCGAAATTTTTTGCAATTTAAAGCAGGGTTGGCAAGTTTTTGACACATGACGGTTTTTACCGGTTTATACTATGGTTTTTACCGTCATGTCAAAAACCCCTCTGTCAAAAATGTCAAAAACCCATAGTTTTGAGAAAACTGTATTTTAATTTGAGTTTAACTGCTTATGATTTAAAATTAATTCATTTTTGGGCAATAAAATTAGAAAAAAAGTTGCTAAAAGATATTTAAGAACAGATTTTTGCATTTTCCCAACATGATTATATCAAATCATACTATTTGAAGTAAAATATTAGGATACTAAACAAAATTTTCAACATTTCCAAGCATCATTTTGTTTGGCATATTACATTACTGAAGAATGTCAAGTCATTC